AGGGTGGCGGAGCCGAAGAGGGCCAAGGATGGTACTTTCAGGGCGGTCGCGAGGTTGAGAAATATCAATTCTGCTCCAGTTTCAGGTCCAGTCCCCGTTCGGAGCAGAAACGACGTATCTGCACGGCGAACCCACCGAGGATACGCGGCCGGGGCTCCGGACAAGAGCGGCGCTCTGCCTCATCCCCCACTCGCGCCCCCAACCCCAACCCACCCCAAGTAATGATCCAGTGTCCCCGACGGAAAGTGCGTGGGGGCCGGCGACGGGGCGCGTGCGCCCCGGAACCCCCGGCGAACCCCCTCCCCCCGCCCCCTCGTAGGCGCTCTGGCTTCGACGGCGCCAGCTCCATTCGCCCGTCAAATCCTAACAAGTGTTCTATCCTGTGCGTCCCGCAACTGACCCACTTCGTTCGATTTTCCCTGCTGAATTTCAACATTCTTGTAGATTCAACGAGTTTTTTTGTTGCGATGTTGTCCTCTTCGTGCTTGCGATGATTTGTGTTCGGCTGTCGGGGATCTTGAGCTTACTGCAGCAGCAATCCGGTACGTTCCATGCAACAGTTGGTGCTACTTTATTTCCGTTCCGTTCCCATCAGGGAGCAATCTTTGTTGAATGTTTCTTGAATAAGTGGTTTAATTGCTTCTCTTTTCATCTACTAAACACTCATAACGAGCAAATTTCCTCAGAGACAGACTTTGTGGGTTTTCGCCTCTTCTCGTTGGATGCTATAACTATTGTAAAACGACAATATTGTATGGAATAAACCGTATGGTGATACTGGGTATACGTTTTCCGTTGGGTTGTTCTATCTATAAATATTGTTTCTTCAAAAGATAACAATCGCTGGTGTTTTTTTCCTAAAAATTCAGATGGAGCAAAACTAACGCGAGAAGGCAATGAAGGTTACGCACTTCACAACCCGCCTTCAATTTTTGAGATAGGCCAGAAATAATCCTTCGTGAAGCGACTGTTTTCTGTTCTGTTATGTCTTGTGTTATCATTTTAAGAAATATTTCTAATAGAATAGAGTAATTCAATTTTTTTTTGACAGGTGTAATTAAATGTGATACCTTCGTGAATCTATAAATTACTATAATGATGGGAATCTAAAATTGAGATATTGACTTTTCCATTGTAGATTTATTGTAATGACCTGAAATATTCACAACAGAAAAGTGTCTTATGAAAGAAACCACACGTTTTATAGATAGCGCAGGTGTGAACCCTCATGCAAATCATCTATTTCCGATATTTGTGAAGCAGCATGGAAAAAAAAGAAAAGTAAAGAACAAAAAAACCACAAGATCTCATAATAATACTTTGAGTGGCGGAATCTTCAAATTTGACCCTCCGAGTCGTGTGGGTGGCATTATACCGCTTCGTCGGGTATTTTTTTTTTTTAAAGGGGGGGGGGGTCATTAGCCTTGCCATAAAATAACTAGAAACAATTTAAAGGCTAGGTCGAAAATTTTTGTCCTAGTTAGTTCCCTCGCAAATTTAGACTTCCACACCTCTTGCTATTTCTAACTCGGTCAAAGATTTGTATTCTTCCAATAAGAAGGCGTCATCTTTAAAAAATCAACAATGAAGATGTAAAATGGGTCCGTTTCACTCCAGTAAATTAAAATGATACAGCATATTGAAAATAAATGCATAATCAGCAGCAAATTTGAACAAACTTTGATTATACTGAACAACATGATTTCATTAGCCATCATTTTATAGTGAGGTTTAAACATGTTTTTACTTAAAAACAAACCTGCATGAGTCTTTCAGTCACGTTGTCACTGTCAGAACTGTTTTTTTCTCTCTTCGAATTCTTGAAGTTTTCTATCGAAATTTGGCAACGTTTAACGCCGCGATCAATGTAGATGAAAAAACAAAAGAGGTGCATGAAAAAGCAATATAAGATAAGCATGATCGAATAATTCAATTTGCAATCATTTTGTTGACTCCCACCACACTCGAGGCTTACAATTACCTCGATAAGTTTTGTGATAATGTTATCAACTAATTTCCAGACTATTGTTAAAACGACCAGGAATATTCTTCTCCCACTGAATGTTTGAACCTCCAGACAGAAATGTAATGAGCTATTTACACAATGGTCAAGTTATTCTTTAGACTTTGAAAACCGGGCAGATTGCTTTTTTAGAAAATGAACTTTGTGAATTGAAAAATAATCATGAATTTAAATGCACCTCTCAATACCTTGGCGATAAGTATACTAGTGAGAACTGACATTATTAGGCGAGAATTATTTTCATATTTTTCCTCTTAACGAAATCTCTCAGATTCAGAGCGGGGCTGCGGGGAAACTCAAACTTAAGCTCCAGGTTAACTCAATACCCACAATTACAAGTAAACGAACATTCCTTGTGGAGAAAGCCTAATTTTATGAATGATGAAATAGTTAGCTTTGATTTTTTTAAAATTTTCCTCTGTCTTTAAAATTATTTCATGTCATTACGACCACTATTTTCCAATGAAATTTGTATGGGCGGCTGTTACAATGGATACTTGATAAATATAAAATGAACAGAAAAAAAGAGAGAAAACGAGAAATTAGAAACTTAGAGGAAGGAACAACAAGCTTAAACTGGGGTCAAGGCCATAAAAATATCTGGTTTGCTTTTTATTTTTTTGCTAATAAAGGCATAGGAATAGATCTGGCCCTCTCCCACCCTCCTTTCTTCCGTAGTCACTCGGTAATTCTAAAATAGCAGCCAATCAATACGGAACTAACAAGAAGTCCTAGCAGTAAAAACAGTGAAAGTGATTTTTTCGACTGGCTCCTTTATTGGTTCGCTTTTTAAGAGGACACGCCCACAATATGTACTTTTCGGCACGGAAATTTTATTACATTCCGAAGATTACACGATGAAGTTTGAGGGAAGTTCCCCTAAACCACAAAGCTCTATTGCCGTATTTCAAGTTCATATTTTAGCCGCGGTCCTCTAGCCGGCATGTAAATAGCTCATGTTGAGGGATGTTAGGACCATAACCATTGGTCTGCCTACGTCTACGGGACTCTTCTAGCTTTAAAGGAGCGTTCTGAGAATTCGCCTTGCTTCACAAGTGCGTCCAATGGGCCTACCCGGAAAATTTTGAAAAATTGAGTCGTCTCCGGAGCAATTTTAAGCTGTTTTCGACCAAAAATGAACCCAATTCCACTATGAAAGGTGAAAGGTACGTCACCTATTAATCTAGCAAAACCCCTCACATTTCCTGAAAGAGGCAACCCTGGTAAAAATTGGCAGTAGAATCTGTGTTCCAAAATACCATAGACCTAAAGCCGGCTGTAAGATTTTCAATAGCTTCTGTAGCCGGCTACACAATTTCTTATAGCCTTTTATAGCCGATGGCGATTAAGCAACAGCCAGACGATAAAGTTTATGCTAAACGTTACAAAATACGGATACCAGGACTTAGTTGGTTTTTGGACTACCGCTCTCTTTTTTTGTGCCGTAGTATCTTGATTTATTTTGCGAGGAAAGCTACGTAATTTTGAAGGATGCCTGTCATTCTGAATGAGTTGGAGTGCCTTCAATTTCTCATGATACTGTGCAATACCTCTGGTGTGAAATAGTTGCTTCAGACGCCGTGGCACGCTGCGGTGCGGCGGGCGGGCAGAGAGTGCGAAACGCGTTGCGCAATGCGTGAAGTATCCCTGTTAGGTTTGTAGGCGCCAGTGCGTCGCCGCTTTGCTTTGTGTTAGGCTCCAATATTTAATCTCGCGGAGTCAGCGTTTTTCAACTCATGATTTTGAAATGTGTGCACACTCTGTATGGATTATTCTCATTTTAATTGATGAAAAAAAATATGTTTTAAAGGAAAATATAATGTGTGTTTTGTAAATATTGAGGTAGTTTCGTATCAAACTTAATGATTTCCAAAGCACACGAATTTCTGCACAATTTCTTATGGCCTCTTATAGCCAATGGCGATAAAGTGTACAGCCCGGCGATATCAACTACTGTATACGGCCCGACTGTATACTTTTTCATAGCTTCGTATGGCCCGTCTATATGATTTGCTCCGCTTTCTACAGCCAGCTATATGATTTTCAATAGCCTCCTTTAGTTGGCTATAAGAACTCTAACGGTATTTTGAAACGCAGCTCCTATCGCCAATTTTTACCAGGGAAAGAAGATTTATGGGGGTGGGACCTGGCTCCCCGGCCCAGGGTGGCCAAATATCATGAAAAATTTTGACATTTCACGTGCAATATTTCATGACATTTCAGAAATTTATGAAAGATAATTGACAAGTGCCGATTCCTTTTTATATTTCTCAAAATGTAAAAATTATGACTTTCTTCTATATTTGTTTGAATGCGGGTTGCATACTCTTGCTCCTACAAAACATGAAATATTTCACACCCTAGTGAAATTTCATGCAATATTTCTCTGAAATTTCATGAAATATTTCACCGAAATTTCCAATCGTTTATTCCTGCTTACGTTTCATGCCACCCTTCCCCGCCACCCTATTCTTGCTTATGAAATCCCCCGTCCTAAGCGTATTACAATTTTACAAGAGTCCAACAATTTTCCGCGAGACTTAACGGCAAAACTGCAGAAAATTTTGCATCCGCGCGCAGAGACCCTCAAGCCGGCAACGTCGCAGGCATCTTGGCTATAGCCTACATCCATCATTCAACAAACGAAGACCCGCTCTTCGCGAAGCGCGATGCTCATCCGAATCCGTCTTGAGCAAGCCCCAGCACCAGCTCCGCGAGAAGCCCAGTAATTGTTCAATATACAGCTTTGATTCGTGATGAGTCGCCACTGCGGCGGCGGGGGGCTCGGGGGGGGGGGGCGG